AAAATCAATCAGGGAAGAAGGGAGAGGGAGAAATGAAAATAGCAGCACACTCAGCACTCATTATGAGGTCGCCCTGCTCTCTGCTGCTTCCTCGTAGCTGTTTGGTGCCTGTTGCCCCAGAATCACGTAGACCCTGTTACAAGATGATAGTTCCCCGTAACCGCCCTGTACATAACAACCTGAACAGGTCCCTACACACCAGGGAAACCACTGATGCCAGCTGGTATGAAGGACCCCGCAGGAGGCTGACTCACTGAAGAATGAAGCTTCCGCATCCAGATAATTTCATCCCCCTCACTCCAACCAATCAATGATCCCAATTTTCCAGTCTGTCCCTTTCCATGATCCCCTTAAAAATCTCAGACTACTTTGGGAGGTCGAGGCGGGTGGATCACGAGGTCAAGAGATCCAGACCACCCTGGTCAACATGGTGAAACCCCGTCTCTACTAAAAGAAATACAAAAATTCAGCTGGGCATGGTGGCGCGTGCCTGTAATCCCAGCTACTCAGGAGGCTGATGCAGGAGAATTGCCTGAACCCAGGAGGCGGAGGTTGCCGTGAGCCGAGATCGCGCCATTGCACTCCAGCCTGGGTAACAAGACCGAAACTCCGTCTCAAAAAAAAAAAAAAAAAAAAATCTCAGACTAGAACTCACCAGGCATTTGGACTTGAGTGTCTTTTCCCATCTCCTTGCTGTGCGCCCTGCAATCACTGAACTCTGTTGCAAACCCCACTGTCTCAGCGTATCGGTCTGTGACTGCACAGCAGGCATACGCACCTTTTGGACCTATGACACTAAATGCGTACTTATTTTTCAGTAGCACGAAAGGGTGTCATTTCCCATATTGGGCAGGGCTGGGGATTGAAACTCAATCTTGTAAAACACGCACATGGAGACAAAATGTATTCATAATTGCCATAACTTGGAAGCAACTAAAATGCCCTTCAGCAGGTGAATAAGTAATCTGTGGCATATCCGGAGAATGAAATATCAGAGCACTGAAAGGAAATTGTTTATCAAGCCATGGCAAGACACAGAGAAACCCTAAATACATGTTACTAAGTGAAAGAAACCCGTCCCAAAAGGCTACATGCTGTATGATTCCAACCATATGACATCCTGAAAGAGGCAAAACTGGAGACAGTAAAAGGTTACTGTTTGCAGCAGTTACACTGGGAAAGATGAATTAACAGACGGAATGCAGAGGATATTCAGACAGTGAAACTACTCTGTATGACACCATAACAGTGGCGACGTGTCATTATATGTTTGTCCAAACCCATAAAATGTACAATACCAAGAGAGACCCAAATGTGAACTATGGACTTTGATAATGATGTGGCAACCTGATTTTATTGATTGTGACAAATCCATCACTCTGGTATTAGATGTGGATGGAGGGAGGGGCTGTGTATATGAGGTGCAGGAATTACGGGGATCTCTGTGTTCCATGCACTTTTGCTGTGAACCTAAAACTGCTCTGAAAACTGAAACATATTTAAAAACAAACAGACAATACCCAATTCTATCCAAACAGAAGCTCTTTTGGGGACATTTGATGCTTATCTCCAAGTCACTGTACTTTTGCTTCTATAAGAAAAAAAACTTGCAAACCTTTACAAGATTGTGTGATGTCTCTATATTATGTATCACTTAATTTCAGGGCCTCGCCATCGTTCACTTATATTCTAGTCGTTTAGCAAAAATGTTGAACTGTGCATTATATGGTGAGTTGTTGTATACCTTTAAACTTCTTTATGATACCAGAAGTCCTCCAAGACTCAAGTGGTAGGTTAAAAAATGCCCCCACCCCCAAAGATATCCATGTCCTAATCTCTGGAATCTGTGAAAGTTATATTATATATCAAAAAGAGAGAAAGAAGGAAGGTGTTTGCAGGTGTGATAAAGTTAAGGATTTTAAGATAGGGACATTCTCCTAGCTTAGCTGAGTGGCCCTAAATGTAATCACATCTCCTTCTGAGAGGGAGGTAAAGGGAAATTTCACACACAGACACACAGGGAGAAGGTGACAGGAAGATGCAACAGAAGGAAATTAGAAGACATTTGTCCTGAAGTTTGGGGTAACATACAGTAATGAGGCAACCACCAGAAACCAAATGTGTCAAGGAATTCAGACAGCACTGGCCCACCAACATTTTGATTTCGGCCCAGGGACACAGATTTTTAATTCCCAGCCTCCAGGACTCTGGGGAAATAAATGTCTTGTTTCAAGCCATGGAGTTTGTCACCATTTGTTATAGCACCAATGGGAAAGCAGCACAGCTCCCCAAATTGTTTTGGGGAAAAAAATGCTATAAAACTACTGAACCTAAAACAAGGTCACTGAGCTGATCCCTCCCGTCTATTCCCAAATTCCTTTTTTGATGGATCATATTTGGAGATAGTATTTTTCTCAGACAAGGCCTTCAAAATATTATAGATTGACCTTGAATCCATTCATCTTAGCGCTCTACTGGATTGGGCTTAAAGTTGCCTCAATCTCAGTATCCTAACATTAGTCGTGTGTGCATGTGTCGGGGGTGGGGTGGGGTGTATGTGTGTGTATGAGTGTGAGTGGGGGAGGATGTGTGGGAATGTGTGTAGGGGTTGCCTACTGCTTCTCTGATTTATACTGCTGAGTCAGTAAAGGGCTGTAGTGTGTGTAGAAAGTGAAACGTATACGTGGTACAAACATACTCTTGCCAAAGAAGTCATTTTGGGTATCCATGCTCTATAGAGCATTTCCTCTCATTTATTTGAGAAGAGTAACAGACACATTCCTTTTACCCCTTAGGTATTTTTCCAGTCAACTAAATCAAATCCTATTTGTATCTCCTAGTCTTTCAATTATTTTTATTGCTTGCTTTATACCTCTCTCCAATTTATTTTTTCCCATTTAAAACTGGAAAATTAGCCAGTGAATTTAGCCTGCATTAGTGTTTGCCTGCCCCATACAGATGAGGCACATGACTTGCCTAATATCACTGGAGAGTTCTTTATTTTGCTGTTTGATCAGTAATAAGACTCGATTTTTAAATAATCATAATGGCACATACATAACCAGAAAAACATGGTTTTTTGAAGTAGTTATATCAGACAGTACACTTATTCTGATGATACTTCCACTCCTCAAAATAATTTCACATATCCGGAAATAGCCTTAGAGTCAGTTTTAAGGTGAAACGATAAAATGGGCATCTCATTATTTAAAAATCACAATTCTTATTTTAGGCAAAGACAATAGGATCCAAATGTATTAACCATGAATTTTTTTCCATTTATAAAATTTCAATCTGTATTTTAGAGATTTCTATTTGCCATATTTGAAGTTATCTCAAATGATGATTTTTACCTTAAAATGCTCTGATTTTTCTTCAGGTGGTTAAACGGAAATGGTTTTCTCCTGTAGCAGAATCTTTAGATCCAGGCAAGCATCCCCTGGCTTTGGAGAGGAGTCTAGGAAATTTTTCAAGCATTCCTTGGATGTCTGGGACCAACCATCCCCATTGGGGTCTGGGCAGGGTGCTCTGAGCACCTACTGGCGGTGCATGTCCCACTCTGTCTCTCCCTTTGGGAGCTCTCTCCAGCTCCCTGTCCCCAATCTTTCCTGTGCTCTCAGGGACATCCAGATGTCCAGGAGATCAGGAGGCTGCCCGTATTATATGGTATTATATTACATGGGCTGGTGCCTGGCCTGGAATATTTGGGCTCCAATGGAAGATCCTGGCAAACAGATGATGTGGGATTGGGACACCAACATGGTGCAGACATTCTGATTTTGGGTGACACTCGATCATTGTGGAGGTAGGACCAAGTCAGTGCTCTGGGCTGGGGCTGCATGTGTAGGCAGGTGTTCAAGCCTTCCCTCATCTTTTTCTGCCCGTGCTGGCCACGGTGGCATAGCGCTGAAGTCAGCCTCCGCTTCCCCAGGCTCCGCCCACAGGCCAGGCCTTCCTCCCCACTCTGACAGTGTGTGGACATCCAGGTATTCTCAACATTGAAAGAGGTCTCAGGCAAGGCTCTGATTACAGCCTACAAAGTCCAAAAGAAGACGCGTTTAAGAGAACGTGTTATTCTAGGTTTACCCAACAGAATCACAGAATTTCCAATGGAAAAATAAACATGAAAAAACGAATTGCCTTTTACATTTTCCTGCACATTCTGCATAAGAACTGCCCTTGGGATTATCATCAGCAAAAACAGTGATGATGTTTGAGAGAGTCATAGCTGCACAATGAGCATGAGTGGGCATCATGATGTCATGAGTAGCAATGTAACCAGCGTAAAATAAAGGCTATTAGGGAACCAGAAAGGCAAGAAGATAGGTATTGTTTTAATATAAACAGTGCCCAGTGACCCATGAGATGAGTAACAGGAGTGCAGCCATCTTGGTCGTGGGGAAGAGAGTTGAAATTAGCAAGAAATGGTGCTCTTGACAAGAAAGAACTTGAAGAGATGGTCCTAAGACCTGAATGGTATGACATGGTGCCTGGTAACTATGAAGACTCTTCATCTGCACTGATTAGCTGATAAACAAATATGTAAGCACCTTTCTGTGTGCATTATTTTACATCTTCATCAATATATCACTATACTTTTCATAGGCCTATGGATTAAATGTTCTAAAAAATATTTTATAGACAAGAGTCCTACACACAAAATCATTTGATTCCACCCCTACAGGCTCTATGGGCAGGCTAGTACTACAGATGATTAACTATATTGACTCCAGATTCATGTGATGCTATCGTTCATCTGTCTAATAAATAATCATTGAGCTCCCACTAAGTGCCAGAAACCACTTGTTGGAGGCAGTGAAAATAAGTATATTTTACAGGAATATTGTATTCGTCAGGGCTCTCTAGACGGACAGAACTAGGAGGATATATGTAAACATGAAGTGAGTTTATAAAGGAGAATTGACTCACACAATCACAAGGTGAAGTCTCATAATAGGCTGTCTGCAAGTCGAGGAGCAAGAAAGTGGCTCAGTCCATGTCCCAAAACCTGAAAAGTAGGGAAGCCTACAGGGCAGCTTTCAGTCTGTGGCTGAAGGCCCAAGAGCCCCTGACAAGCCACTGGTGTAAGTCTAAGTGTCCAAACGCTGAAGCACTTGGAGTCTGATGTTTGAGGGCTGGACACATTCATCATGGGAGAAAGATGAAAGCCAGAAGACTCGGCAAGTCAGCTTCTGCCACCTTCTTCCACCTGTTTTTCTAGCCACACTGGCAGCTGACTGGATGGTGCCCACCACATGGGTGGGTTTTCTTGAAGGTAAGCCTTCCTCTCCCAGTCCACTGACTCAAATGGGGTCAGAAGTTCCAGACCAGCCTGGCCAACATGGTGTGAAACCCCATCTCTACTAGCAATACAAAATTTAGCCAGGAGTGATGGTATATGCCTATAATCCCAGTTATTCAAATGGCTGAGGCAGGATTATGGCTTGAACCCGGGAGGTGGAGATTGCAGTGAGCCGAGATCGCGCCGTTGCACTCCAGCCTGGATGACAGAGTGAGATTCTATCTCAAAAACAAAAACAAAACAAAACAAAACAAAAAGTACTGACCCACTGATCCTTTTTTTTTTTTGAGATGGAGTCTCGCTCTGTCACCAGGCTGGAATGCGGTGGCACGATTTCAGCTCCCTGCAACCTCCAACTCCCTCCTTCAAGCGATTCTCATGCCTGAGCCTCCGAAATAGCAGGGACTATGGGCGCACACCACCACGCCCAGCTCATTTTTGCATTTTTAGTAGAGACGAGGTTCAGAACCAATTTTTGATGAATTAGTGAGGGACAGCATTTGTGGTGGTGGGTTCAATCAAGGAGTAAATGCTTACAAAGCAAAACACTGTAAGGATATTGCTACCACACGCAATTCAAAACCAGGTTAAGTATGGTGCCTCACTGAGCACCTTCTTACCTCATTATTTATTGTCCTGCATTTGTGTGATTATTATGTACTTAGCAAATTTTTATTTTACAGTGATTTGTAAAATAACTTATTCATTTTCCAAATCACTACTAATTCTAGTTCAGGGTCATGGGTGGGCGGAGCCTCTTCCTGCGGCTGAGGACGAAAGGTGGAAATCAGCCTTCTGGTGGCACCCATCCTATGGCAGGTGCACTCACACACACACACTCACAGTCACCCACACAGGGACCATGTAGACACGCCAAGAAACTGACAGGCACAGCTTTGGGATGTGGAGGGACATCAGAGTACCCAGAAAAAAAATCTCACAACCACATGGGAGAACGTGAAGGCTCCACACAGACAGTGGTTCTGGCTGGGAATCACCTTTTTTCTTATCAACGTTATAAGAAAATGGTGTCAAACGAAATGACCTTGTTTGAGAGACTGCTTTCTATATTAATAAGAGAACAGATGTGTTGCGCTACTAGTAAACTACTGAAAATGTCCATGATTAAAATAAATTGCGTTGAGTAAAACAAGAACCTCCTAACATTCACAGCAAATGTTCCTTTCTAAAGATGAAGTTAAACTAAAATGAGTGGCAGTCCCTTCTTTAATTTGGTAATCACAATGACAAATAATTTGTTGAAGAGGGACACTCTTCTTGAAGTAGCTACCAGTGTAGAATGGACCTGGTATAACCTTTTGTCACCTGTAGTCAGGGAGGTATGTGGAGAAAGGCTTAAAAGAGAGACTTAATTCTAGCCCTGGGCAGGAACTAGGGCAACTGACTGTAAATCTCGGTTTTCCAACCAATACCTGCAGGAGCAGCTTTCTCTCTCTCTCTCTCTCTCTCTCTCTCTCTCTCTCTCTCTCTCTCTCTCTCAGTCTTTCTCCAGAAGTGCACCTCCAGATCCTGGGGGACCAGACACGCAATGGAGATTAGGAGTCGTTGTCATTGTTAGTCCATGTATTCTCCACCACCATAGTCATGCAGGTCACGGTTAGATGGAAAAACATCCTATCCTACACCAAGGGTTGAGATAGGAGGAGATGAGTGTGCTGTCCTATCCAGTGCCACTTCTCTCTAGTGAATGTGTTTCCTCTCAGAACAAAAGCACATAATATCCTAAATGCAGTGTGTGTGTGTGTGTATGTGTGTCTGGTTTTAAGAAGTAGAGAGTTTAATAAGCAAGAAAGAAAGGAGAAGGCAGAAGGAAGAGGCTCTCCCATACAGAGACACAGGGAGGGGGCATCCAAAGTGCAAACAGGAGGTTCCCAAGTGAGGTGGACACCAGACAGGTATATGTGCAGAGGCTGGAGGAGGCGGTGTATGATTTGCATAGGGCTCAGGGGATTGATTTGACCGGGCATGTCATTCACGTAGCCCATGAAAAAGCAGGTCCTTTCACTCTAGCTTTTTAATATGCAAATGCAGGGCGCTATGATGTTCTACACACATGTGGATATATGAGGGTGGCCACGTTGCCGGGGACATGTGGGGAAAGGGCAAGGAGGCCGGAGAAATCGCCACGTTTGGGTGAACCCAGTTGCTAATGGACTGCATTTGCATATCAAAGGTTGCCAGCCCGGCCACAGAGGCTGGCTAGAAGCAGGGAACAGAGTGGTTTCCTGCTGTATCATTCACATTTTCCTAAATCAGTTCCAGGATTTAAAGTGTGCTAAGTGAGAGGTCTAGGATTTAAAGTGTGCTAAGAAGTGAACGTCATCTAGGCTAAGTTTTCTCACATTTGGAAAGTCAGTGCACACCACAGGTCATGTGATCCACGGGACTCTGGGTTTAGTACAGGACTTGTTATTCAGAATGGCAACCTAGTCAATATTAACACACTAAACAATTCACTAAGTTTCTCATATGACTCCTCTGCCATCTCTGGGAAGACACCTTATTTTAATTGTATCTTACTCTCTCTGAGCCAAGATCCAGCCCTTATAGTGGTTCCTCATATGACCCCTCTGCCCTCGCTAGAAAGACACATATTTTCATTGTATCTTATACCATCTGAACCAAGATCCAGTTCTTATGAAATAGCAATGCAATGATGACATAAAAATACACATCTTCGCAGAACAAGGCATCATACTAAAAACAAACACAAAAAACACAATTGTTAAGTCTCTCTAGTATAGAAGTATTAGAATTAACATTTGGGACACAGACAATGCACGTGAATGTGAAGACAAAAGTCCCAGGCTCCTCTCCAGAGCCTTTTCTCTGGCCTGGGTAGGCATATGGTGGCTGCAGGAACTTAGAAAGGAGGTCTTGACTGAAAATATAAATCAGTGACTCATCAGCATATAGGTGTTAAGAACAGGACATTATATGTTTAGTATGCTAAGTGAAATAAACCAGGCACGGAGAGAAAAGTACTGCATAATCTCACTTACATGTGGAATCTAAAAAAAGCTAAGCTCCCAAGAGGAGAATAGAGCAGTGGATGCCAGAGTGCAGGGGCTGGCCAGGAAGGGAGAGATGCTGGTGACGTGGTGCAAAGATTCAGTTAAACAGGAGGAGCAGCTGTACTGATCTATTTCAATAATTTAATAATAAAGCACTGTATATTTCAAAACTGCTAAAATAATAGATTTGAAATCTCATCACAAGGAAATAAGTAGGTGGGTGATAGAAATGTTAATCAGCTTGATTTAATCACACTGCGATGTATACAGGTATCTGAACATCACTCTGTACCCAATAAATATATATAATTATTATTTATCAGTCAAATTAAATTTAAAATATGCTTTAAAAGCAGGAGGTCATAACTGATAAAGGAAGTCACTACAAAATACAATTTAAAATAAGCATCCAAAAACTAGGGGAAAAAAAATCAAGAGAGAAGCTGTCAAGAAAGCCAAAATGAGAATGTGTCAAGAATACAAGTCCTCTACATTCTATGGGAGCATGAAAGACGGGAGCTCCTCACTTTGGTGTAAGGGGAAAAAAACTGAGAGCCATATTCTCTTCCCAAAGCTGGCTGCTGTAGAGCTCCCCAACTGATCTGCGCTGAAAAAGAGCTATAGGCTTTATGCAGCCGCCCTCTGAGGAGGCTTCATGGCACAGATAATTTATCACAGATACGATGGAGACCACTGGCTTGCTATCAGATCTGCACTATCCTCAAGATAACCATTTAGCAAAAGTTTCAAGACACTCATAAAAAAATTGGTTCCCAGGCAAAGTGGATACATCTATAAAGCAACGAAAATAGAAGAGAAATACAGGAAAAGAGTTAGAAACGAAATGAGACAACAAAATTAAACAATAATGTTCACTCAGGTTGCATCTTCACATTTTGAAAATATCTAGAGAATGTTAACGTTAAAAATAAAACCCAGTAGTACCCACAATAATAGATTGATGTACTCCACAGCCAAGGAACATAATGGGAAAAAACTGAGACGACTTGAAAATACACATATTCAAGAGTCTCAAAGAGAGAAAGACAAATACTCTATAAAAAGGTAATATGAAATCATGCAACAGGAAGAAAAAGAAGAAAAGGATATTAAAATATTTTGTTAATTTCAGTCAATTATAATTACATATATTTTTTCTTTTAAAAAAAGCTGTCACAATACACTGTATGCAGGACTGGAAACAGTGGGCATTGTAATATGCAGGAGTGAGTGCCGAGCATCACAATATGGCAAGGGTGTACTTAGCAAGAAATGTGAAAGACATGCTAACAGAGTGTTTCAGGAAACACAGAAGGTTTGCCAAGGACAAGGCTTGGTGTATTAAAGACCAGTGCAAGAAAATAATAAATACACATACACATAAGTCAGTTAACTAAAATCACTGTAAAAACTTGACTAAGGTTTTATGTTTAAAAGGCAACAACCCTCTTGACAATAATAACTAAGAACATAATGGTGGAAAGGATGTCTACAAGAAATTAAATTTTGCTAAGTTTCTTATTTTACTCAGGAGTAGGAAGGAGTTGCTGAGTAATTTTAGACTTCGTTAGAAACGCTGAAAAATTAATTAAATGTGTTAAAATTTTAAAGGTAACATAAATAATTGAAGATTTCTTTATACCTTCCAAATAAAAAGACAAAAATATAAAGAAGGGAAACTATAAGTACTTTATCAATGCACGTTCAAGCAAGGTAAGTAGAAAAGAAGTCAAGAAACATGGAGACCAAGAAACACAGACACAGGGAAGGGAGCATCATACACTGAGGTCTGTGGGTGGGAACTAGGAGAGGCACAGAGCAGAGTGGGGGGTTGGGGAGGGATAACATGGGGAGAAATGCCAGATATAGGTGAAGGGGAGGAAGGCAGCAAACCACACTGCCATGTGTGTACCTATGCAACAATCCTGCATGTTCTTCACATGTACCCCGGAACCTAAAACGCAATAAAAAAACTAAAAAACTAAAAAAATAATAATAATTTCAAATACATGGGTAAATACATACATGGCAATCCCATCCATTAAAACTGCCAGATTGCATAAAAAATTAAAATTAAAATGCAGCTAAACAATGTTTACATAGACATAGCTAATAAACAATATTTATCTTTTATAAATTAAAGACTCAAATATGTAAGTTTGAAAAATACTACTGTCAGGAGTTTTATGTCAGTTTGGCTAAGGAGAAGTGCCCAGATAATTCTGGATATTTCTGTGACAGTGTTTTTGGATGACATTCATATTTAAATCAGGATTTTGAGTAAAGCAGATTATCCTCTATAACGTGGGTGGACTTCATTCATTGAAGGTCTTAATAGAACAAAGATTAACATATATATTCAGAGAGAGAGAGAGAGAGAGATCAACTGCAGGGATCTGTCTTGTGCAATTGAAGAAGCTGGCTGAACCATTTGTCTAAGCCTTTGTCTTCCTGTCTGATGCTTGCAGCCCACAGGGCAGGTACTTGCATGGTGTAACAGACAGGGTTCTCCAGAGGGACAGAACCAAAAGGGTATATGCAGGTATGAAAGGCAGTTTACTGGGAGAACTGCCTCACACAATTACAAGGCGAAGTCCCATCTGCAAGCTGGGGAAGAGAGAGGCCGAAGTGAGTGGTGGCCCAGTCCAAGTCCCAAAGCCTGAAAACCATGAAGATGGACCGTGGAGCCCTCAGTATGGCTGAAGGCCCGACAGCCCCAGGAAAGCCACTGGTGCAAGTCCCAGAGTCCCAAGGCTGACGAACCCAGAGCCTGATGTTCAAGGGCAGGAGGAGCAGATGGAAGTGTCCAGCTCAGGAAGACAAAAGTCAGAAGCCCCAGCAAGCAAAGCTATCCCATATCCTTCCTCCTGCTTTGCTCCAGCTGCTGGTAGCCCATGGGGCAGTGCCTACCCACACCGAGGTGGGTCTTCCTCTTCCAGTCCACACTCATGTGTCAATCTCCTCTGGCAACACCCTCACAGACACGCCCAGAAACAATGCTTTCCCAGCCATCCAGGCATCCCTGAATCCAACCAAGTGGACGCCTAATATTCATCATCACAGATGGGAAGTTGGATGGAATGTTGGGGAGATGACAAACAGGCTGAACCCCACAGCAGGAGTTGGCAACTCTCACTGGGGACTCAGAACCATGCCCATCCCTATGGCCTCTGATCTGGGTGGCATGGGCAGAAGTCAAGACACAGGCACCTGACCCAGGACTAAGAGGCTGAGGGAAGACCGAGGCCCAGTTAGGGCCACTGTAGTGCCCGCTGCCAAGTCAGTCCAAGCGTGTATCAGCAGACCAGCCCAACGTCCTGAGCGTAACCCCAGGATAAGAGGCACAGAACCTCCAGACCCTCTAGTGGGAAACGGTGGTCTTGTGTTGTATTTATGCAAAGGAGGAACAGCTGAAGTAAATATTCCAGAAGAGATTATTATTTTCCAAACAAAAAGACAAAAATCTTCCAAGATTAAGTTCCTTTCCTCAAAGTCCTTTTGGATTCTAGTCCATTCTCTGTTCCTCGGCCTGGAATGCTGATGCAAGTCAGGACACTGGGCAGTTGTTTTGCGATCTGAAGACGAAAGTGTCATGCTTACAATCAGTCCTTCCTAACATCTTTGCGAAGATGCACCGAAGCTAGTGTTCTACTTCTGGATATTTTATTTTATTTTATTATGAATATGAATCCCTGCTTTAGCGACAGTAATCTGGATGTACTGGTACCTAAAATACTCATTCTGTTCTCAGTAGTTCTGCTGCCACAGAGAAGTACAAAGCCAGGCCATCAGCTCAGAGGGAGTATGGAGGTGGAAGAGTTGGCTGTTCAAAGAGGAGAGGGCAGGAGGGCACGGGCAGCCGCTTTTCTGACTGCACTCCAGCCAGGGACCCTCTGAGCGCTCTTCTCAAAGAGCACGCAACTTGTCCGGTAAAGAAGTGAGCAGCAAGACTGCATCCCTAGGATAACCCTAGCCCTGCTGAAGGTGCCTGCCTGGGGACAATCAGGCTGCCCAAAGATTGAGTGTTGATTCTAGCCAAAGTCTGCGATGGGGTAGGGTCGGGGGCTGTCCCTCAGGCTGCGTGAGCCTCTGCAGGAAGGCAGGGCCTAACTCTGATAAATGCCAGTCAGCAAATAAAGGAAGAGTTCATGTGGGCAAAGGCCTTTTTCTACTTTTTACAATTTTTCTCTTCTCTGCCTCTACTGAGCCCCCACTTTCACCTTCCTCTATTCCCTCATTGTCCCCTAAGAAGCCTAATCACTGTTTTATAATGATGAGTTTAATTTATAATGGACATTTTTCCCTACTTAAATAGCACATTCACCTTTTAAATCTGTCCTTGCTCCTTTAACTAGTATGTGGTTTTATTTATTTATGTATAAAATAGATTTAGGAGGTAGAAGCACAAATTTACTGCATGCATCTATTGCGTAGTGGGGAAGTCTGGGCTTTTAGTGTGCCCATCGCCCAAGAAGTTAACATTGTACCCGATTTTTTCAAATCTCAGCTTCCCAGCTTTTGTAGCCTTCAATGCCTGTTATTCCACTTCATATGCCCACGTGTGCCCATTACTTTGCTCCCTCTATGTTGAATAAGAGTGGTAAAAGTTGGTATCTGCGTCTTATTCCAGTATATAGGGAGAATGCTTTCAAAGTTTCCCCAGTCAGTATAATGTTGCCCATGGGTTTTTCATTTCTGCCTTTCATTAGTTTGAGTCACGTTCCTTTAATGCCTAGTTTGTTAAGGGTTTTTATCAGGAAGAGATGGTGTATTATATTGAATGCTTTTTCTGCATTTATTGAGATGATCAGATGGTTTTTGTTTTAAATTTGGTTTTTCTGCTGTGTATGTTGAACAATCCTTACATCCCTAAAATAAAGCCCACTTGATTGTGGGGTCGTAACTCTTTGATGTGGTACTGGATTTGGTTTGCTAGTATTTTGCTGAAGACTTTTGCTCCTATATTCATCAGGATTTTGGCTGAAGTTTTCTGTTTTTGTTGTACCAATATGCAGCTTTGGTGTCAGGGTGACTCTGGGTTTATAGAATGGATTAGGGAGGATTCCCTCTCCCTTGACTCTTTGGAATGGTTTTAATAGAATAGGGACCAATTCTTTGTATATCTGGTAGAATTTGGCTGTGAACCATCTGGTCCTGGGCTGTTTTTTGACAGACTAGGGGAACATAGCACAATGACTGGGCCACAGGAGGGTCCTCTCAGTGTTGCTGGCTCTGATTTAAAGGGGAATCAACCAAGGTGATTGTGCTTTTCTAATCCAGACACCTACAAACAAAATCAGAGAACATATTGCTCTAATTTTTGCCAGGATAACAACGAAACGCGTGTGCGAATTTGTAACGAAGATGATGTGGCCACCTCTGGCATTGGCAATTTTGGTTTCCCACTCGCTTCTTGAAATCATGTTGGTTATTATGGCTTGGGGTCTTTTTGTTAATCCCCCCTTATGCAGTTTTCACAAAGGGAAAACAACAGACTAAAACAAAGACGGCAGCAGCCCTTCATATTAGAAAGAGCAAACACAACAGAAACAACAACACAACTTATCAGTATTGAACTAGCTACACAAAGCAGACAGTCAATGGAACATTTTGCAGATGAAGCACAGCTCCTCAGGGCCCTGTATTTACTCATGCCTTAACCTGCAGCATGCCTGTCAGCCCTCCAAGTGCAGGTGTGACTGCCAACTTCAGCACGTTCTTGATTGTCAATTGTGAAGGCAGATAAGTCTGAGATCAATTCTGACTTTTTCCCAATATTTGACCCAAACTCAGCCCAAGATGTTTCTGATGACCAGTTTCCCTACTCTACCTCATGACTTTTATCTGGGCAGTTCTAAAACCCAAAATAATAAACCAATGTCCCATCAGGTATTTAAGATAGGTTATGTATATAATATATATGTACACATACTTACATATATGCACAACTGTTTATATATCTATAATATATTATATATTATATAATATATATGCAATATTTTATGTATCAAAATACCACTCAATCTAAAG